GATAAAATTTACATAACATAGTTAAATACATTAATAAAACATTACGGGCGATATTCAATTTCTCACGAACTCCATACCCCAAATTTGCGGACAAAATAAAAACTAATATATAGTGCCTTACATGAGCCGGTTAGGAGGAGCCAGCCGCATCCGTATCAATTTGTCCTTTTTCCGTCAAGACATAAAAAAAAATAACAACGAGGTGAGCCGAAGCTCGGTAAGTAGGGTGATGCACGTGATATGCAATGTTGTTTTGACTTCCCACCATACTCATCAATTTTAATCTCGGGTACCACAGGTATTAGCCAGCCTACTCTATTTATCATCCGGATGGTCCGCGGATCACCTTCTGCTACAACGGAATTCTCCCTTGTTGTAACTACTGTTAGCGAGAATCCATCGTCTAACGAAGTGCAAGCACACGACTTGATTTCATCTAGATGATCCTCGGATCATCTTCTCGCTACAACGGAATTATCCCTCGTTGTAACTACTATTAGCGAAAATCCATCGTCTAATAGTGCATGCACACATCCTAGAGTACTCGGACTACTAATACCCATTTATTCCAGTTAGGTTATCAAACCTAGATGTATAAACCATTTCTCAATCAATTGACTTGTTTTAAACCACCCACTATGCACATGATGCATGTGATGACATATTTAATCACATTCAACCAAATTCGGGTACCAACCCTTCATTCTCATGCCATACTCATGGTCCAACCCACACTCGGAATTTATCCATTGCTCACATACCAATCATGATACCCACAGCGAGAACACAATCTCCGCTCATTAATATTGTTCATTAGTTTCATTAATATTTAAAAGAAGGTCCAAGTCCATTTACTTTAATCCAAGCCCATTAACTTTATCCTAGGTCCATTGACTCTATTTAATTTCATTTTATTTAGTCCAAGCTCATTTAGTTTATTCCAAACCTATTAATTTTGTCAAAATCTATTTTTTTTTGGTTTTAGGGTTTATTACCGGGAAACTCCTAATCGAGTAAATAAATTTTTCTTATTTCAGAACATAATTAAATCTTACTCATTTTATTTTAGATACTAGACATATTTATTTATAACATATCCAAAAATTAGGTCTAAATATCAAGTACACAATTAATTACAAATTTTTGAAACTTAGGGAGCAATCTGCCTAATAGTAGTTTATCTGGAGCTATCCATACTAAATCGGATGTAACTCTTTTTACACGAATCCAATGACCAAGAAATTTTAAAGGAAGTTAGTTGAAACATAGATGAACAACTTTTATGCTTTAAGTTTCACCTAAAAATCGATCTAAAATCCTTGAACATACACCCCAAAATTCGGACAGAATTTACTCCTTATCAACACTAATTTATTAGTTCATTCCAAGGCAATTTTAAACATGTTTTAGTTCACTTAAATTTAGTCCAAGTTCAATCCAACCCATTACCACATACTTGGACATTTCTCAAAAAATCATAACATCATAAATCATCACAACAAGGCATCCATACATAGATTTATCCCAAGCATCAAGCATATAACCATTGAAAATTATTACAACCCATGAAATAAACACTAACAAAATAACTTAAACAAAATAATTTAAGACATTAATCAGCCAAAAAAATGAAACCTACTTACCTCTTTTAGGTTTGATTATAGTTTTCTTAGCTCTTTTTCTTTCCTTTTTCCCTTCCTCTTTTTCTTTCCTTTCCTTTCTCTCCTCACGTTTTTCTTCCTCTCTTTTCTTTCTTGCCTTTTCTATCTCAATTTCTGGTACCTACGGGTTACTAAAGTTTTTCTCCTATTTTAACACTTTCTATATATATATATATATATACTTACTTTCATTCAGCTACAAGTGTTAGAAATTAATGGGATAAGGTGTAAAGGTTATGGGTGAGTCATGAGGAAAGCTGGCTGCTTTGGAATCCATAATGGGTGAGTTGACATTAAATTCATTTATTGCATTTACTTAGGTGTCTATATAAAATTTAGACTAATTAAAATCATTAATTAACTTAATTCAAGTAACTAAAAATACTTTCTTTCATAAAAATTCGGAAATTTCCATTTTTAAAAATTTGGAATTTCTTTTCCCCCAAAATTCCAGCAGTGTTTCCTCCTAACTCATCTATACTAAAATGTGCATAACTCTTTCTATATGTATCAAAAAATTATGAAATTTTATAGAGAGCTAGTAAACACATAGAAAAACAACTTTTATTCTTTAAGTTTTTCTCAAAAATCAATCTAACAGCATCAAATAAGTCTCACAAGATTCGGGTAGATTCTTCTCCCAAAATTCCAGCAGAATGCATTTCGAAACAACCCTCACTATAATTGGTATAACTCTTAATGTATAGGTCTAAATATTATAAAATTTTATACAGATCTATTCAACACATAGATGAACAACTTTCATTCTTTAAGGTTGACCCAAAAATTACCCTAAAGTCCTCAAATAATTCACACAAAACTCGGGCAGAATATAGTCCTTAAAACACTGATTTTACATATTTGATTTCTTTAATAATTAAACCATTAATCTTAAGCACAATAACTTTAATTTAAAATAAATTACATATTTCAAGCATTAATTTCTCATGATGAAATGATAATTATACTTACTCTTCATATACATATATATAGAATTATTCTAATACACGTCGCGTTACGAATAAGGGTTTTTACGGGGGTTACAAGAATCGTTAGCTTTATTTATGTAATGATTGTCCGATTGCAACGTAGTATAGATATCTAGCTAGTAAACATCTACATGAGCTTAGATTAAGAAATAAATATGAGGTTAAAAAAAAGGCTTGAAATTCTTATTTTGGTGAAAACTTGAAGGGATCACTTCTCCCAAAAGATAAACTATTAATTATTATCATATAAATTAATTCAATACAAAAGTCAACAAACCTTAACAACTTTTAGGCTGCGTTTGTTTGGGGAAAACAAGTTCTCGGAACTTGTTTTTTCCATTTTTCAATGTTTGTTTCACATTCGGGGAAAAAGTCAATGGAAAATGATTTCCAATCAACGAAAAATGATAGAGTAATTTTGAGAAAATGTTTTACCGAGTTTCAAAAGAGGAAAACATTTTCCTTCTCACGAGCTGTCTCGCTTTCTCGTTACATAACTCTCTCTCGATATATTTTAACAATTTTTTTCTCTCTATCTTCTTTTTATTTAAAATATATCATATTAATTTTTAATTATTTCTTATCAATTACTATTAATTATTTAATTATTTTTTTCTATCTTTACTAATATTTGATTTTTTGATTTATAGATACATTAAATATTCTTAAAAACCATTTTTACACCTTAAAATTATTTTTATAATAAATATTTCAATAACTTATCTCTTTTTTTTACTATTGTTTCAATCACTACCTAAGCTATAGTTAAATGATTATTACAAGACTATAATTTTTTGTAAAAAAAATTAAAATTAATTAATTCATCAATAAATACATTATTTTTTCAACACTATTCATTTGCAATTAAATCAATAATTTATAATTTTAATCAATTGTAAAATTTTGTTGGTAATTGTAATGAATAATTAGTTACAAATTATTCCAACATTAATCTTTTGAGATCAAATAAATAATTATCTATAGATGATAACAAATAATTTATCAAATTATTTTTTAGACTAAATTATCAGTTCAATTTCTTAAAAAAAATATTCTTAATTGAGTTACTAAAATAATAATGCTAAGATTACTTAGAATCTTTTTTTACCAAATATGAATATTGACTTAATTTTGTCCTAAGTAATTTTGATGATTTGGTTTGATTGTTAAAAAAATACATTTTATTTTTTGAATTAAAATTTTAGAGTTAGTATTGATGAAAATTTATTAAATTTTTCTAAATGTATCTTATATTATGAAATTATGAATGTCTTTTAAAATTTTCTCAAAACTTGTTGATATAACAATCACATAAGTTTTTGTATTGTAATTTTCTCGTATCAAACAAACATTGAAATATATTTTTCAAGTAGCTTTTTCATATAATTGCTAAACAGTGAGAAAATATTTTCTTGGAAAATAATTTTCAGGAAAATAGCTTTCTCGAGAATTGATTTTCTTATGAAACTTGTTTTCTCTCAAACAAACAGAGCCTTATTTAATAAAATAGTTGAAAATAACTTCTTCTTTTTTGTAGTGATAGGAATTTCATATGGATAATTACATTACGTACTAAATTTGATATCCAAATGCAAAAAGATTAAAAAATTAGTTACGTATAACATGGGATGACCGGATGGCCAAAAAAATAAAAAAAGCGCAAGTATAATTATGCTTTTATATATATATATATATATATATATATAAAGACTGTTGATTTTCTCTCCGCATAAGATTTATTATACATACATACATACATGAAAAAAATGATGACATAAATGATTTATTTTTTACTGGATTATAGGCGAAAAAATTGTCAAATAATTCAAGTATAATTAGACACCAATGATTTATCTTTGATGACATTGGAGGTGAAAAAATTGTAAAGGGAATAAATATTATATCATGTAAGGGTATTTGAGAAGAAAAAATAAAAAAATCTTTTTGTTCTTTTTTTGTTTTCTTTATAATAGAATATTTTATTACTTATTTAGTAGTAAAGAGAAATTGAATCTCTTGAAAACAAAAGGGGCAATATTATAAAATATGAAAGTATAGGAGTATAATTGAGACATTGATGAATCTATAAGGCTAAAAATATAGTTTGCCCGAAATCAGTCAATTCCTTTTTGGACCCGACAGAGAGAATCGGAAAATCGGGGTCGGAAATAATTTAATTAGCGTTAAATCCAGGTTCTTGGTAATAAAAAGCAAAACCCCTTCAAAGTCTTTAAAAAAAAAAAAAAAAGAGCCGCCACTCGCTAGTCACTCTGCTGCTGCTAGCCTGCTACTGTGTATAAAAAGATCACCAGCGGTTTCAGCTTCTACATTCGCCGCAAACTCCAAAAAGATGCATACTTGTGCTCCTCCTTCTCATCACTTTACCCCTCTAAAATTCCCTGAACTTCATAGCTCCTCGAAGCTTAATAATTTGCAGGTTTTGAGGTCGTTTGGTTTGAGTAAGAGAAACTTTAAGGTGTTTGCAGTGGCTGCATCATCGCCATCAAGCATGAGTGAGGCCTCTAATTATATACCTGCTGCCCCCATTTTTCTTCCTGAAGGACCATGGGAACAAGTAAGCTATTTGTTTCAAGGTTCAAATTTATTGTTTGACTGTTATCCTGTATTTTTTAGTCTTTTAATGGTGTTAGCATTGATGGGTTTTTTCTATTTTTGTTCATGAGATGACCAAAAAAGTTACTTTGTTGCATAAATGTCATGTGGTTTTTTGTTTATTTAAGAGATTATTACCTCGACGATTAGTGCTAGAGTCAACGTGGGACTTTGTCGAATCTTTTCTTTTTTCTTTTTTGGTTATTATTCTATAAGAGGTTATAGTTTATTAAATGTTATTATATGGATTTCTTTTATTTGATGTTTATAAATTGTGAGCAAGTTTGCAACTTTTGTGAGGGTAGATTCCAGGCGGAGTTACTGCTGCAAAGGGGTTCAAAGCTGCAGGGATATACGGTGGATTACGTGCCTTAGGAGAGAAACCTGATCTTGCGCTTGTTACTTGTGATGTTGATGCTACAGCTGCAGGTTAGATTTCAGTTTTTAGTGGATATGATGTGTAGTTTTACATGTTGTTTTGGCCTTTTTTATTTGAGGTTATGGTGATTATTTATCTCTCAGGCAGATAAATTGAACTACTTGAGTTGCTTGTGATGGCAAATTATAGGCATCATGAAAGAAATTAGATTATTTCATCTGAGAATTGATATTTAATATTCTTTATCTCCAGGAGCATTCACTACCAACATGGTTGCTGCTGCACCAGTATTATACTGTAAAACTGCATTAGATATTTCAAAAACGGTATGCTGGGGTATTATTTTTGCATCGCTTGTATTTAATTACTTGTAGTTGAAGTGAAGGATGATCTTGTAGTGAACTCTGGCCATGTAAGTGAATTATCTCACATGAAACTGTTATGAAATGATGGTGGGTTCTATTTTTTTTCCTCCCAAAGAAGGAAAAAAAAATCAGCCATAATTGACTGTTGCTTCTTCTTCTCCTTCTTCTTCTTTTTTTATTTTTTATTTTTATTTTTAATGAATAGACATGATTTAAATGTTAAAGCTTTGAATCTACTAAGTGTTCTCAACTATTTTGAGCCCATTATTTTGATACAACTTTGTAGCCATCAAGTACATGCTTTTGCAGCAGTTTGGTTTTGTGGGTTTCAAACTCACTTTAATTCAACACCATTTGTTATGTGGCCAACTAGCTTTTCTAATCCAGTAAATGATTATTTTATATTGTGGTTAAGATTATTTATCTTGGTTCAATTTACTAATTATATGTTGATGGCACAATTTTGCATCAGGCACGTGCAGTGTTAATAAATGCTGGTCAAGCAAATGCAGCAACGGTAAGTTTTGTCCATATAGTTGGATGGTCTACATGTACTTTTTTTCATACTTCTGTAGGTTTGTCCAAGAATGAACTTGTCTTAGTGCTCATATGCATAAAAAACTTAGGAATTCCTTTAGTTAATGCCACTTTGCTTTTAATATGAGTGGGTCGAGTCTCACATGGTTAAGATACCTACCATTTATGCCCAGGGTGATGCAGGTTACCAAGACGTGCTAGAATCTGCTGGTGCCCTTGCTATGGTATGCCATCTTAGAGTTGAATGTGTCAACTTCATCAAGTTCATGTTTTAACTGGATTCTTATTCACTTCTCATATGTGCTTTTTATCTTCAGTTGCTTAAATTGAAGCCAGAGGAAGTATTGATTGAATCCACTGGTGTCATAGGTCAAAGAATAAAGAAGGTATGGATGATTGATTCCACTGTCAATAAGTCGTTGCTTTCTAAGCTTGCTATGTTACTCCAGTTGATGTGCTCTTACCATGCAGCTTATTCTCTTTTTGTGATGGCCTGTGCAGGAAGCACTTCTAAAATCACTTCCAAAACTTGTTAATTCTTTGTCACCATCCATTGAAGGGTAAAGTCTTGTGTTTCTATCATTTATCATTTAGTAAACCTGATGAGCTTCCATATTAGTTGAGCAACCCAACTGTATTTACTCTCTCATCCTTCTCCAAGTGTCACTTTTCTCATATAAATGTTCTAGCTCTCAATGATCTCCTCAACAGGTGCAATTTCCATTAAACAATTTTTTGATAATCAGTGGATGTGCAGGGCAGGTTCTGCAGCCGTTGCAATCACAACGACTGATCTTGTAAGCAAGAGTGTGGCCGTTGAGTCTCAGGTATGTGGAAAGTTGTTCTTAAGAAACCAGCATGCTTGCTGCTTGTTAGATATCAACTACCATAACTTTACTCTGTCTATGCACAACATTACTATAACTTTCTCATTCCATTCCCTTGTTAAAGTGGGCCTTCGCTTCAATACTGGATCATCAAAATGAAGAGTATTTTGTTCTAGAAAAAAGGGAGAAACATTAAGGGTATAAAAAATTATTGCTTGAATACCAATGCCTCTTATACCAACTTTAAAGAGAAGGATGAAGCTTTGACAATTAAATTATTCAATTTTGACCGGTAAGTATTAATTCCATAAAGTTTATTGGTGTTCATAAGTTCGTTCCACGGTATTTATGTGTTAAACTTATCTCCTACTTGGGTGACAACAATGTCTGAACTTTGACCTCTTGAGAGTGATGCTTTTGAATAATTCATGCTTTTAAAATATGAATTCATAGCAAAAAGACAGGCTATTACTGTTTGTTAAATGCCTCAGGTTGGAGGAACAAATATAAGAGTAGGGGGAATGGCCAAAGGTTCTGGGATGATCCACCCAAATATGGCCACCTTGCTCGGTGTATGTATCCCCTATTGCTTCTCTCAATTTGTCCAGATAAGTGCATATCATCATTCCATTCTTTGACAATACTATCTTTTGCAGGTTATAACAACCGATGCCCTTGTCAACAGTGATGTTTGGAGAAAGATGGTGCAGATTTCAGTGAATAGGAGTTTCAACCAAATAACTGTATGTTACATCATGGCTTTCTCACAGCTTTTTCTTAAGTACTGTGCTGGTTTCAATAAGTTGGCTAGTGTTGAGATGGAGCTATATTTTATGTGGTCCCTATTGCCTTAAAATTTTGATACGGAGATACTATAATGGCAAGTATTATTTTTTCTCCAGAATTTTACTGCTGGATTAATTAGAGAAATGTTGAAACGGTTTCTTGCCACTCCCACATGTTTAGTTGTACAAATCATTAGCTCAGTTATGAAATTCAATGAAGCCATAAGACCACATGAGTTTAACAGTCATTCAGATTTTTGCATAATGCTTTTTTGCAAGAAAAGTTTCCTATTGTTCTGGCATTAATATACCTGAATGTCTCTCCTTTCATTCGTGGAGTGTGACCGTCATTTATTTCTTTCAAGTGCAATCATGTTCATGTTCACTTTGATCGGATATGCTCAATTTTCATGCATGTGCATACCTTAGTGTGCACATGAATCACATTGCTTCTTTTTAGCAAGGCTTGCTTACATAAAAAAGGCATACAAAGTTTTCTTTACTAAACATTGAATTCTCCTATCTTGTAGGATTGTGGTTTTAGTTTATTTAGTTGAATCACACTTATTTGCTACAGGTAGACGGGGATGCTAGTACAAATGATACAGTCATTGCTTTGGCTAGTGGGTTATCTGGATCGACCTCAATATCTAACATAAACTGCCATGAGGCAATGCAACTTCAAGTGTGCCTTGATGCAGTAAGTTTGGCTGACATGCATCTTTTTATTCACCTCTATGGTTCAACATTTACTTAGTTGCTGAACAAACAAATATATATTTTCCTCCATGGTATTTTCTGAACCAAGCTTTCTAACTCTTAACGTGCGAAGTTTATGAAGCATTCCCTGTCACAGACATGATCGTTTATTTTATGTCAACTGTAAACTATTTATGACATTTCTATTTTTTCCTTCTCGATATTTATCAGTTGATTGTAAAACTATCTCTTACTGTCTATGTTCAGTGGCCATTTATTGGTAAATATATTAACTATGTTCTGTGGCTATATCTTTGCTTACCTGAACTATCCCTAATTTCCTGCAATAATCATGCAAAACTACTTGTTAGGATTTGGTTTTGAAAGGGCTACGAGCTGTGGCCCATAATTGTATAGGGGCTGTAGACTCATTCAGTTCACATCTTGTATGAAGTCTGAATTTTTTTTTTTTTTTAAAAAACCTATTCTCAGGTAATGCAAGGTCTTGCAAAATCAATAGCTTGGGATGGAGAAGGAGCTACATGTCTAATTGAGGTTTGCTTCTGTGTTAAAGATTATTCATACTTGATTGGCCAAAATCTTTAATTATAGTTCCACTCTAAGGCTGACAGACATCTAAGAAATTGAAGCTAACTTATGCCCAGCATAACATTTAACTAATGTGGAACTGAGTTTGAGCAAAACTCTTAGTGGAGGAACAGGTCTAGACAGCTTCCTGTTGGAACAAACCTAATTCTCTGAAAACGTTGAAAAATTCTGCTGGTTGTGGCTTGGATGTGTAGGTCACAGTAACTGGGGCAGAAAGTGAGGCTAAAGCAGCAAAAATTGCACGCTCAGTAGCATCTTCTTCTCTTGTCAAGGTATGCTACAAAAACTCAAAACATCCATTTGATGCCTCAGTTTGACGATGTCTAGCTTGTCGTCAATGATCATAACAGGCAGCTGTGTACGGCAGAGATCCAAACTGGGGACGCATTGCTGCTGCTGCTGGCTATGCCGGAACCCCTTTCCACCAAAACAATCTCCGCATTGTGCTGGGAGATATTTTGCTGATGGATAATGGACAGCCACTTTCATTTGACAGGTGAGAATTGGGCCTGCTTCTGTAAATGAAGACATCTTTTTTTATCTTAAAGGTGGCAACTTCTTGTTTTCCATTTTATTTGAGCGTATTATTGCCATCCAGTTCCATTCCATTTCAATCGTCGATGACTGGAGATTTTCAGGTCTGCGGCTAGTAACTATCTCAGGAAGGCTGGTGAGATCCATGGTACAGTTGGAATCTACATATCTGTAGGTAAGCTTCTTAAACATTTGTGGATCATTGGCATAATGTGCATGTATTTTCCTTATTTTATTGACTGCACAACATATGTTCAAAGGCAAACTTATCTCGTACAACATCAAGTCTCATGTTTTGGGCTTGATCTGTCTACTAAGTTGCATCCCTTTAAGTGATAATTATGTACCAAGCAAAAGTTAACCATGCCGTTGAATTAGCAAATTAATCCCTTTGCTCAACACATGTAGAGGGTCATGTCTTTCTCACTACACTTTGCTGCCAAAGAGCTGCACATATCTCGATGTACCTTAGATAGATGGCAATCAAGAAGCAATGTTTTACTTGCTGCATCTTCTGGTTGTAACCTATTTGATCGGCTATCTCTCCGTTCTTTTCACAGGTGATGGACCAGGAAGCGGGCAAGCCTGGGGGTGTGATTTAAGTTATGACTATGTCAAAATAAATGCGGAGTACACAACATAAATCCTCACCTTTACTTCACCAGTTCAGCCCTCTTTGAGTTGGTAGGCTGTATCATCACATCATCAATCAAGTGTTCCCTTTATATTATTGAATAATCGCATTGATGGAACACAATTCTTGTTAGAATAATAAGTTTGACTGAGTTCATGCTTATTGGGAGAGGTTATGATAAATTTGTAGTTTTCGGAATTTTTTGGTTTATCAAAATGCAATTTCTTCACCAATCTCCACATGACAACGTCATCATGTCATGTGCACATAATTTACAGGGGGAAAAAAAAAAACCAGAAACATAAGAGGCATAATATTAATAGCAATAAACATCACTTTATTCTTCACATTTTTTAGTGTGGTTGTTCTACCTTTTTTTTGTTTATTTATTGATCTTGTTCTTCTACCCAAAATTTTATTAATATAGTCTCTTTGATGGTTTTCCAGCCAATTTTTCAATCAAAAGTGACATTTGAAAAAAAAAAAAAAATACTTTATCCATTTTTTTTTAATCAATTAGTCTTCTATTGGTATGAGATATTTTGGACTTTAAATATATAAATATTAATTATGGTTTAGTGATTTGATTGCATGAGAAATTGATGAAATTATTATGAAAATAGAGGTTAAGTTCCGTGACAAAATATGTTAAAAATTACACAAGTTTTTTCCAGCAAGGTACTCTGAGAAGTGCTTATATTTTCTTTTTTCTTTTTATTCACGTGACAAATGAATCTAAAATGTCATGATATATATATATATATAATCGAAAGATTGATTGAAAAACCATATGAGGAGTCATATTAAGAAAATTCTTGAAAATAAAAAGATGTGATAAATAAATAAAAAATAAAGAAATGTCACATTAAGGAAAAAGTGAAGGATAAAAGAGATGTTTCATGCAAGTAACCTAACAGTCGTATGAATTGCATATGATTCGTTGCCATTTTCGGTGGAATGTGTAGTTCCTTTCGACTCCTGAGAATAAATTGGCAGCGCGATTTTATATTGCAACCAACAAGAATCTTTACGACCGTCCTTCTCTTTTCACACTTCTAAAGTAAAAAGTTTCTTAGGTGAAGCTATCAATGGCCAGTTTTTGGCACGTCCAGATCAAGTATTTATCTGATATTTTAAGTCTCCAAAAAGTTTTTCTAGTCCGTTTCATGGAGAAGAGATGGGTGTGTTCAATTGCCTCCGTATAAATTAGTTTCCAATCCCAAATAATATTTGTGGGACTGAATGAAAATGACATTAGCAACATGAAAATGTAGGGATATGGAAGGCTTTCGTCCGCATTCCAAAATCTAAACCACACGTTGGCCCTTGATGAGAGGGCTACAAAACTGACTACTGAAGTCTTCCATGTCATATTCCAGATTCTTCAAGTCTTCGACCAAAATAGGTATTTATAGAGAGAGAAAATGACAAATAACCCAAGAAAAAATAAATCAAGAAGCTGAGAATCCACTTATGTTTTACTAACCCAAAAAAAAAAAAAAAGAAGTTTACTCCACGTCTAGATTTTGTATTTTTTTAGAATTCTTTTAAATGAAATTCTCTATTATCATTTTAAACTTGATTGAGATTTTTTTTAGTTTTTGAGATTTTTTGTTTCAGATTTTTCGTTTTAGATTTTTTATTATCACTCTATCAATAAGTGATCAATGCGCCACATTTATTATTTAAAATCTTTTGCTCTATAATATTTTATGTCGATCACTGATTGATGATATTATAATAAAAAGTTTATAAAGTAATAAATTTCGATAAGTAGAATGTCTCAATTAAATAAAAATAAATAAATAAAAGAACTTAATAAAAAATATAAGATTTAAATATGAAAAAAATCCAAAATAAAAATAAGGAGTAACGATGCTAAGGATATCTCCAAGAAAATGCCCACAGAAAGCAACCATGAAAGAATAAATCTATCAAGATAGAAGTTAGAATCTTAGTCCTAAAGCCAATGGGTGGTCCAATGGCAAAGCAATGCCCTTTTAATGGCGTCAACCCAATTCAATTCTTAAAATCTTCCTCTTATATGGTAATTGAGTCTAAGAAAATAGTTTATATGCAAGTAAAATAACAAAGCCAAATAGATCCTCTTAAAACTTTTTAATAGTTTATTGATTGCTAGAAAAATTCCAATTTCAGTAATATATTATTAAATTTCGGTAAATAATAAACACAATAAATTCTTCTCAAAATTCTCTTAAGAAAAAAAATGGAAAGAAAAAAAAGAAAAAACTCCTCGAAAATAAATTTGAGAAAAACAAGAATATACAAAAAGAATAAAAAAAAAAGTATATCTCCTTTTCTCATCCAATAGAAACATAACTAACCATAACACGTCACACACGCAAAATCCAGTGGTACAAAAATGCTCCAAAGCGTAGCAACGCACCTCTCCTCCACCTCCACCACCACCACCACAACACCTCTCCTCCTCCTGTCAAAGCCCTTCCTTTGTCTCTCTTCAAATTCCCAAATTTCTCTCTCTAAACCCTTCAATTTCCCTCAAACCTCAAAATCTATCTCTTATTACAAGCCACCAATGAACATCCTTAACAAACTAGGCTTTGGTACTAGGTCACCCGACCCATCAACAATGGACCCAACAGTCCCACAAGGTCCTGATGATGACTTACCAGCTCCTGGTCAGCAATTTGCTCAGTTTGGAGCTGGTTGCTTTTGGGGTGTTGAATTAGGATTTCAAAGAGTCCCCGGTGTCACTAAAACGGAAGTGGGTTATAGTCAGGGCTTATTACATAATCCAACTTATGAAGATGTTTGCACCGGTACTACTAATCATAATGAAGTTGTTAGGGTTCAGTATGACCCTAAAGAGTGTAGCTTTGAGTCTTTGCTTGATGCTTTTTGGGATAGACACGACCCTACTACCTTGAATCGCCAGGTGGGTTGGTTGAAATAGCTTCTTTTTTAAATGGGTTGTTGTCAAAATTTGGTCTTTTTTATTTTACTTGGTGAAAGCTTGGTGCTTGGTGGTGAAGCGAACTGGGTTTGAGTGGATTGTGCTGGGTTTGTTTGTAATAGGGTTTTGTTAATTTTCTTGGATTTTGGCTTAATTTGTGGTGCTAGGTGTTTTAAATTCTTAAAGTTCGTTGATATTTTGTGTTTTAGGTAAGTTCTTCAGTGGATAATTCATTTTTTTGTTTGATTGCCTAGTTTGTAATTGTGCTCCCTTGATGCGTTGATAGTTTTAATTTTTTGTCTTTCTTGGGAATGGGTTGAGGTGATTTTGGGCTTAGTTGCTTGGCTTTTCCCTCTTTTAATTATTCCTTATTGTCAATATGTTGCTAATTGTTGTCTTCAATACCTGTTTTAGTCTAAGATGTTTCCTCTCCATGTTTTTAGTTTCTAAGGAAGTCAATAGCTTTACATACCACTGGTCAATTTGTTAGTTTCTAAGTGTCGTTTTATGAGGAAACACCCATAGTTTTTTTAGAATTTAACTAAATGTAATATGATATGACTGGAGAAAGAGATGGAAAGACCTGCTACCTTTGTGTCTTCAATGAAGAAAATTAGCTGGCAAATCCGCAATGATTTTGGAGTCTGGTGTAGTTCCTATTAGCTGTATCATTTTAGCAGGAGCCATCAAAATTATAGATGATTTTGTAGAGAGTTCCGAGCATGGTGAAAACTTCCTCATTCAGTCACCTTTTTTTGTGGACTTTTGAGTATCACCTCTTTGGTTGTGTGAGTCAATAATGGTACTTTGTTTACATTAAGTGCAATCTAGTAAGGCAGTTTTCCTAGCATGCCTGTGATCATCATACGTCTTCCAGTTTCATGGGTATCTTATTACGTTACCCCATCTATAGCTGATATAAATTTATATATTCCTGTGCTAGTAAGACATAAACCTGATCTTCATTGTCTCGTGGAATTTAATTGTGATATAAATCTAATTTCAATTAACTCTTCTCATGGTCTGTTCATAATGCATATTCTAATATCTTGTTGGTCCTTGCTGGGCAGGGCAATGATGTGGGAACACAGTACAGGTCTGGAATATACTATTACACCCCCGAGCAGGAGAAGGCGGCAAAGGAGTCCTTGGAACGGCGGCAGAAGCTCTCGGACAGGAAAATAGTCACTGAGATTTTACCTGCCAAAAAATTCTATCGAGCGGAAGAATACCACCAGCAGTATCTGGCGAAAGGAGGCCGCTTTGGTTTTAAACAATCTGCTGAGAAAGGATGCAATGATCCAATCAGATGCTATGGATAAGCCCTTTACCATCACTAAGAGGCAAACATCGGCCTAGGTTAAATATTCTTGACCTGAGACTATTCTTGTTTATATTGATAAGCCTATAGCTTTTGTATGCTTTACTATGTTGTGAATGCCGTACGTGCTTAGCTTCCAGGATATAGATATCTAGTTACCTAAATATGTTTGATGGCTGTGTTATATTGTTCGTGTAAGATAGTTTGCGCAGAATGGTTGGTATATATGAAAAAAAGTTTTTCGACAGTGCCAATGGCTCATTATCCGGGACAATGTTTATTATGCTCTTCTAGTTGAGAAGGTTTATCCACTAGGTTGATCACAAAAGGTTGCGGTTAGCATCAGGATTTTTTATTGTAGCAAGTTTTGCTTATGTGTAAACTTCTATTTCCTTCTTTCTACAAGAAGTACCAGTAAATGCTAAAAGCCTTTCAGGTGAGTATTGCTCCTTCGCTAGTTGCATTTACGTTCAGGGTCTCTGTCAGGGCAATTTCCTGACATGAATTTTTCAAGTTGCTATTTCCACAAAAGTCCACAAGTGTTTGTCAGACTCGCATGTCTCCATTTCTCCAGAGGTCTCGGTTTTGAATTTCTCCTTAGTTAATCAAACTGTAAGATTTCATTGCTCGCCTGCGTGGTCGAATTATAATTGTAGGATTCACTGCACCAACTAATTGTAACTTATTTGCTGCACAAAAATCTCACCTGGCTAGGAAATATTTGTTTCATTATTAATTGGATTGCAGCCCTGGATTCGACATGATCGTTCCAAGTTTAAACGATAGTGGCATACCCAAAAACAAAAAAAAACTGAATTGTACAACTAGATTGAAATCCTATAATTCATAAAGGTGAGACTCAAGAATACCAATGGCCTAGATATTATGGCCATGGAAGTTCCTTCTTCCCACAAGAAGCAGCAGACGATATATTTGCTAGCAAGCCTAAACATATTTTCTTCTTCTAACCACGAATTTCCTAGTGAAATATCCTTTGCTGAATGCTGATGCTTCATTGCATAGCGAAAGGGTTCCGATTTACTGTTTTCGGCCGGCCTTGTACGGGCTTGTAATTTTGTTGTAATCTTACTTAATTTGATCTTGGTGGACTTTTATAGGCGTAGGCTTGTCCCCAGATTAATGAAATTTATTTTGATGGAAACCCTATGGAAAAACAAAACAGAGTCAACGCTAAGGGTATTAGCTTTTTTTTTTTTTCTTCTTTTTCATTAAATTTTGCTTACTAAATGATATGATATCTATTATGAAAAATAAAATTCAAATCATAGAATGCAGATCTTATGGCATTTAATGGAACAATTATAGTTATGAAATTCAGTGATCGATGAAACATGGATTTCACTATATATGCTAAAGATCGATCTAACTGATTGTTTGTATTATGTTGCAAATTGGATAAAACAGATAAAATTATTTGCAAAAATTATTCTAGTTTGATGTTTCTTGCTATGCCACAAGTCTAACAAAATATATCAAAATCAAATTCTTTTTTTCACCAAATTTAATTATTTTTTAATCAAAATTTTATACTTAATTAATTCTTTTTATATTCTTTTAATATATTTCCTTCTTATATCCATGAATTCTTAAATAAAGAATTACAATAGTCTAAAGAGCACGTTTCAATTAATTGCAAATAAAAAATATGTACAAATTTAATATTTTTCATAAAATTGCATTATAAAAATAACACAACAATCAATGTACAAAATATTGCATCAAAATTTAAAATTTTTTAATAAAATTTTATCCTTATTAAATGTTGATGAGAAGATTAATTTTTAGAGAGTGTTTGTGTGTGTATATATATAATAAAATATTAATATAAAAAAACTCTAATAATTTGTAAGAATTTTGGAAAAAATGAATTTATCTCTTATAATTTGGATTAAAAAAAACTTGGTTTCTGATTTAAATTGTAATTCAAAGTTAAACTACTAACAACATAAACAAGATAAGAAAGTTGAGAGGATACTCAAAGTTGAGGGAGGGATACTGAATCTGAGGATGAAAATGAACCAATTGGATCGTCTTAGTTTAGACTGTTGATTTTTTTTTAGAACACGTAGTTTTAGTTTCATTTTGGATACTATTTTCAAACCAAACATCTTTACAGCTTCAGCAATTGATAGATTCATATCTAAAAATTTTGAAATATTGGAGAAAATTAATACTTCAAAATTTAAAAATATCTTAAATTCAAAAAGAATATGGTACGTTAATTTTACATTGACAATGCAAAACCTTTCTCGGGTATGTGTAAGTTTTGAGCTTTCATTTGAAAAAAATATATTAAAAAATAATATAAATAATATTTCGTTGTTTCATTCAAAAACTTAAGTTACATGATAATTTTGATTGGATTATGTTAGGAGAAAAGCTGGTTAATTAGTTTAATGGTGGGTTTGAAATTAGAACACAAAATTCATGGCACAAATTATTTTCCATTTGAATTCGTTAGAGAAGATAGCAATTTATACAACCTTTCATTATTTGAGATTTTGAACTCTTATACTATTGAAATTATCATTATGAAGAAAAAATGTGTTGGAGAGAAATGTCCAATTGCATGAATATTAATGGGTTTACCGTTCATGAGTGCAGTAATTTAATTTATTTTAGATGATGCATAACTTGACATTTTATGCAAATTATTCTATTTTGTTTGAATAATAATACCTTTTTTTTTCTTTTCAAGTTATTACAAATATTTGTACAAAAATTATCAACATGTTTGCATTATATATATATATAATTAAAAGTTTATTAAAATATTAAATCACAACTTGTGATTATGTAGACCTAAGTGTTATTATATTGAATAAAAAAAATCATTAATTACAAGGATATATAGCCGTTCACATCAAAATTTTGATGCGATTTGAAACTTTTTTATGAACAAAATATCTTAAATAGCTTTGAAAAATTACAACGGATCCGTTCCAGCATACGGGTAAGAGATCAAAACTTAAAACAAGTAGGCTCCTATTTATTAATGTGTTAGTGAAGAGATTAAAAAGACAAGTCTGAGTTTTTTTAATCAATTATTTTCTTCAATTTTATCGTTTTAATTTCAAATATAAGAAAAACCATAAATTTCGTGTGATTCTATCAAAGTCTCCTTTAATAGTATGCTGTTTGTCATGCTATGAACATTGATCATTAGATAAAAATGGACAACAAAAAAAAAGTGTGAAAATAAAATCTATATTTATTATTTTGTAAACACTTAAGAAACAAATTTTTTGAAATATTGGAGAAAACTAATACTTAAAAATTTAATAATCTCTTAAATTCAAATACAATAAGTTACATGAATTTTACATAGATTATGTAAAAAACTTTTCTCGAGTGAAAGTATACCTTTATGATGATAAATTATAGGATATATTACAATGTATGTGTTTATTTAAAATGTAATTGTTCAATTCTTTTAGGATTATTCAATGAAAGTTAAGAGGAGACTTCAAGATAGGTTTGGAAGAATTTTCGGAAAAATGAATTTTATCTCTTAGAAATTGGCTAAAAAAAACTTGGTTTCCGATTTAAATTGTAATTCAAAGTTAAACTATTAACAATATAAACAAGATAACAAAGTTGTGAGGATGCTCAAAGTTGAGGGAGGGATAGTGAATTTGAGGATGAAAAAATAAACCTAAAATTTAGGGTTTAATTATTAAAATAAATTTCACACTTAAAAATACACCTTTCAATATCTTCATCGCAAGAAATGCCTATATCTATTTTTGTAGTTGAAAATCCAATAAATCTCCTCATAAAAAAATCACCATTAAATATTACATATTAACAATTCTTACAGATTTATTATAAAAAGTACGAGGAAGTATCCTTATGATTTTTGAAAAAAAAAAACGCATACTCATAATTAAATATATTTAAGAGAAAAATCATTAGAGGTTAAACCTAAAATGCAGACTAAAAAACTAGCAAGTAAATCACTGCAGCTACCCCATGCAACCATCATCTTTAGTTTCTGAAATTTTCTTCTAAAAAGCACATTTCATAAAAATGTTATTCATGAGCGGTGACCCACTAGAAGAGCGAAAACGAAGAAGACTTAGATGCCATTCATAGCCTAATTACTTTTCTAATGCCTAAAAACATTCTTCATAAAATAATTAAAGTTTGCATATAAATTGTATCAAACAAATCGTATTTAACTTCAGACTTATGAATAAAAAGAAAAGAAAAGAAAAAACTAGCAAACTAAATCAATGCCTAATGAAAAGCAATTTGGTCTTTAGACGAATTTTTTACTAATATATAATATTCGAATTCTGAAATCTCATTTGTTCAAGAAGTTAAATCTTCAACATGAAAAGGAGATGAAAAAGAAAAACTTAGATAAAAATAAAAAATTCACTACTGTTCCAAGATATTAAGTCCAAGGAGATTAATAACACTTAATATTCTTTTTAGCATTTAATTTTTTCGTTGCACAAAATAACACCAATGATTATAAAAAATTCAAAATCCATTGAACAAAGTAGAGTAGAACATGCATCACATGCCTCTCTAACGTGTCTACCACGAGTCAAGATGCAATCATAAAGAACAAAAACATTAAATCCTTCTCCATGTTGAGGCCATGTTATACGATGCACTATTAAATGATCAACAAAACATTAATTTGAAAAACTAAAATTTTTTTTAAAAAAATCCAATAGATTAATTTAAGTGAAGAGAATTCTAGTTACTTAAATAAATGATTTCGAATTCAAATTCTTGTGTGAATAAAAACCTTTTTATATAATTATATCTATTTTGTACGTCGGATAAAAGAACAAACGATTAATCTTAGTTTTTAGATACAAAATATATCAAGAGTTAAAAACAAATTAAAAAAAAAAGAATAAATAAACCACTCGTTTAAGTAGTAAAATATTATGTTTAAAATCTTCTAATTAATTATCCTCCATGGCAATAGGATTATCATGATTCATGTTAATAATTAAACAT